CGTATAGTCTGCCTACCCTAACATCCCAATCTCGACATAAATGTTTCTATATTTAGCCGTGGAAATGAATTTTCAAGTTTCACGCTAGCGAAGACGTTTGGCCTTCGCCATGCATGCATAACTGTTTATTTTCAGCTCGGGAAGTGATTTTAACTTTATTCATATTTAAGCAGCATAGCGTTTTGCATTCGTTATCATTCAAAAATAAGAGTGACAAACGAGCACACAGTCCATCAGATGGCAAGTGAATGCTTTAGCCCATAGACGTCTACAATTATCCCGGATAAACAATCAAAATGCAGTTGTGTTATCGCCCCTGCCGACAAAGACGGAATGCCTCGTTTCCAGTAAAAAGGGTCTCCGGTTCTCTACATACACTACCATACCAACTGTGAGAGCGTGGTCCTTCCCCGGTCGAGCCGACCCATTCGTGCTACAATAATACTACTAATACAACTGCAGCATGGCTCTACTACGTTGAAAAAATAATAATCATCGAGGGAATTTCACTAACTAAACTAGTATGATTTAAAAAAAAAAAACTTCCGTCAGCTTCCTACCGGTTCTCTACACATACCATACAAAACACAGTGGCGTTAAGAGGGTGGTCCGTTCCCAGTCCAACCTATCCATTCGTGCTACTATAATATAGCTTGATAGAATTCAAATAATGCTAGGGAGATGTTATTTGTATTCTATCATGTCGCCATCACGTGGTAACTTAGTTTATTCCTTTCTAATTGTGACGTTTCTTGTTGTTGCAGGACGTAATTCACACTATCAGCACGCCACACGGTCAGGTGCAGAGGATTGTCGTCTTTAAGAAAAATGGCGTGCAGGCGATGGTTGAATATCCTTTTCAATAGATTTTATTTTGTATTTTATATTGTATAAATCAGGTCAGGTAAGAGAAATTGTTTTTTTCTTCTTTAAAACAGTTTAAATTGGAAACTCATTTTCAGTGTGGTGCATTAATTGATGATTGTTTATAGACTGAATTACATTAAATATATGATAATTTTAATAGCATATTTAATCTGTTCGTAGACAACCGGATTGTTACGAAATTTTTATTTTAAAAATTTACATACACAATATTCAAGTTTTATAGAACTTGAAAAAATCAAATTATAAATTGGTTAACGACAAAGTAACAGTTAGTATTACCATAGTCGAAGTTAAAGTATTTTACGTAATAAAAGTTTTCTGTATTTGGATTTTTTCATAGACTTGAACCATTTAATTTTATTAATTATTTGTATCTTTTTTCTAAAGTTACTCTAGTATAGCAAACCAAATATTGGAGCTGTTATTTTTCAAACCTCTTACTGAATATAGGCCAGAACATAAAACTAAAGGTGTATATTTTTCAACAGCTTCGTAAAACGGGGTGTGAGTGTAAGCGAGTAGCGATAAGCGGGTTCAGTGTTTGTTTAGTGTTGACCATCAAGCAAACAAAACTACTGTTTGTGACTTGTAATTGTAATAGGTTTACAAATATTCGGACCATCGTAAGCCTGTGGTAAACAATGAAAGCACAAGTTTTATTCAGATCATTAGTCATTAGTCAGATCGCACGGTGTGTTCATTTGCATTGCATCCCTGAAAAGCATTAATAAAATTAAACTTAAAATTGTGTGGTGCACCCCATCTTACACCGCATATCCCTAAAATTTTAATAATGTGCAAAAAATATTGTTTTTAGTACTGTGTAGTCCGCATTTACGTTTTGTTAGAAGTCATTTTTTACCCTACTGAGTAGATTAACGAATGTAACGATCTCAATTTAATTTAAGGATTACGTTTAAAACATCACCTCTATTTTACCGCCTTTGGGTGTGGATTTTTTCTCTACAAGTTTGTATAAATCCACCGCGACTCGGGCGGAGAGGACATTCCTGTCGCCGCAGTCTCTCACACAACTCACATCCGAAGTGGGTTTGCTAAGCCCACTCGGAATGTCTACCCCGACCGGCCACCTTGGGCCGGCCCTTAACCTCTGGCCAGCTATGTGGGTTCCTCTTAGTTCACCTTGAAAAACGAAGCCCCGGCTACTAAGCCTTACCCATTAGTACCCGTTAGCAGGGAGGGGGCATATCTACATTTTGCTCTAGCGCTGAAATACTTACAGGCTAACTTTAATAGATGATTTAAATAAAACGCTACCGCGGTCACTCGTACCCCGCCTCTGTCTAGTAGCATTGAGTGCACGCCATTAATATAGTGAGAACTAAACTATATAAATAAACCCCTTTCTGTGTTAATAAAATGTGCTCAATGCTAACTGCTTTAATTCGTATAATGTATTATAATAAAATATATATACTTATATATAATTAGCGTTCCTCCGCGGCTTCGCACGCGTGATTTTTGGATCTCGACAACATGTGCAAGTTTTATTCATATAAACTTTCCTCTTGAATAATTAGGCGCTACTCCTAGCAAACAACTTTGAGCGTTCGGTACTATACAATCATCGCGTAAGAAATACCCAAATTATTGGAATTATTTAAATTTAAAAAGAAAAGCGAACTTAAGATATTAAATGAAACGTGAATAATATACATTTTTAAATTATATATCTATTAGTGTAATCCTCAAATGATTAGAGCGTTGCCTTTAGTAACAGATGCATGTAGTCAGTAATTTTAGTCGTTTTTTAAAAGTTGATTTTAAATGTATTTATAAGACATAAAAACAAATTATAACGTGGAATGTGATGATAGGATATCGAACATTAATAATGTGCTTTTAGATGTAGTTTATTTCTCATAACTAATGAGATAGTCTCTGAAAAACGCACTATTTGCGATAGTTTTGGTCGGGGTATCGCCTTAATGAAAACAGCATCAGAATCCGTTGTGTAGTTTAAAGGTTCTAAGCGCACAGACGGCGGGAAGCGACTTTGTTTTATACTATATATAGTAAATGAAATGCTGTCACACTGTTTCTGGCGCAGCCATAGAAAGATTCCCTGTTTTTTAGGGTTCCGTAGTCAACTAGGAACCCTTATAATTTCGCCATGTCTGTCTGTCCGTCTGTCCGTCCTCGCTTAATCTCTGTGACCGTTAGCACTAGAAAGCTGAAATTTGGTACCAATATGTGTATCAATCACGCCGACAAAGTGGTAAAATAAAAATTGGAAAAAAAATGTTTTATTAGGGTAGCCCCCCTATATGTAAAGTGGGAAGTGATTTTTTTTAATTTCAACCCTAACGTGTGATATATTGTTGGAAAGGTATTTAAAAATTAATAGGGGTTTACTAAAATCATTTTTTGATAATGTCAATAATTTCGGAAATAATCGCTCCAAAAGTAAAAAACAATGTGTCCCCCCCCCCTCTAATTTTTGAACCATAAGTTTAGAAAATATAAAAAAAATCTGAAAAGTAGAACCTTATAAGGACTTTCTAGGAAAATCATTTTGAACTTGGATGGAAACAGCAGTACCCACTACCGGGAGCAGCTGCAGGAGCGCGGAGCACTGCTGGAGCGCGAACATAATGGATACCCACCTTTAAACTCATAAGTGGGAACACTTATTGTGACGGACGGGAAACTACGGAACTCTACACTGAGCGTGGCCCGACACGCTCTTGGCCGGTTTTTATATAGAATAAGGGTGACAAACGAGCACGCAGTCCACCTGATGGTAAGTGGATGTTACGGCCCATAGATCATTGCGTCAATCCTGATGACGAACCGAAATGTGGATGCGTTGGCCCTCCCTCCTTCTTAGTTAAAAGGTTATCCAGTTCTCTACACACATCATACGAAACACGACAGTATTAAGCAGCTATTTTACGCTCGTATTTTATGAGTACGTGGTCGTACCCGGTTCTTACCTGATCGAGCCGTCGTGTTGCAACTATTTACGACGAACTAAGTTAATAAATGCGTTTGACAATGTTATAAATTACAAATAAACAATAGATACTAAGTTATAAACGAATTTTCATTTCTAGTACAAATTCAAGAAATTTAGCAGCTGTTGTTTATGGTAACGTCGATCGTTACTCCGAAGCAATAGAAACATTCCATGAGATTTTTACATGCCCATAAAATCACCTATAGGGCTCATTTCCCGTGCACCGCGGTAGTTAACTTCAAAGTTGTTTATTATAATAATGAAATGGTTTCTTATGACCTGAGTAAATAACGTTGACTGGCGCGTGTGGGTTTATTTATTCGCCTTGAGACTTTAATGTACTAGCAACATTAGCAATGGGATCTATTAATGGAGTTATTTACCCTGAAGATAATTAAAGACCATTTATTGTATCAATTCTTTTTTTTATTTAATTATTTCGAATAAAATGTAGTCTGGATCTAGATATTTTTAAAGTTTCATTAGGGTCGGCTTAGCTATATTTTTTTAAATGTTTATTAATCTCTTAATGGCGTGCCAATAGCCTCCTGAGCTTAATAGAAGTCATTTATAGAAGCCATTTATTACAGAGACTTCAATTTCATTTCTGAGTATAGATGAAAGGTGTCTTAAGATTTAGGTTATAATAGATCAATGCTTGCGTAAGTATTATTGGCACGGATCACACGCTCCCGCAGAATTTCAGCGTGAAATAGCAGAACAAGGCTTGGTATTTCGTATGGTGAGTGTTGAGTACCGAAAACTCTTTTTAATGGTAACGAAGCATTCCGTTTTAGTTTTCAGGGGTGACAGCACATCTGCATTTGAATCTTAATCGTCTATAAGCCGTAGCATCCACTAACAATCAGTTGGACGATGTACTTGTTATCACCCTAATACTGTATTTAAAAACAAGACTGATCAAAACGATTGTGTGCAAACATTTACGTTTCTAGCGCAAATCCCGATGGTAAATTTAAACGTGTGTGTCCATTAACGGCTGTCAATTGTACTGTAACGGCGCCATGTACACATAAAAGAACGCAGACCGCTCACTACGTTCAAATAAATGGGCGCTGCTAAACTCTCTATGATGTATTGTTTTATGTTTGTTGCTTTAAAGAAATGGTCGATGAGCTACTGCTTGCACGTGAGTAGGCACAAAATACGAGTGCGTGTCGGACCGATGCGTAACGTAAGATAAAATAAAATAGAATTACTTCTTTTTATTCAATATCGATTACAAGCAATTCTTATTGAAAGTGACTTTTTACTTTTACCACTGGCTTGGTAAAAACCTCTGTCCAGCGAAGAAACAGCAAGTTGGCAACCCAGCGGGACTTTTCTGTTGCCTGTGACACAGGCTGTACAAATTACTTACAAAACATATTTTAAACGACATTAGCGGTTTATCATTATCATTATCATTACAGCCCTTCACAAGTCCACTGCTGAACATAGGCCTCCCCCAAAATATACCACAAAGCACGGTCCTGAGCCACCTGCATCCATCGACTTCCTGCATGTCTTACCAGTTCAACGGTTGTCGGTTCTTCGAGCTATATGGCCGGCCCATTGCCACTTCAGCTTACTAATCCGTTGGGCTATGTCGGTCACTCTGGTTCTGCTGCGGATATCCTCATTTCTAAGTTTATCACGCGAGAAACCCCGAGCATAGCCCTCTACATATAGAATCTCGCTGAGCGACTTTGAGTGTCCTCATACGGCCAGCAGTGAAGGACCACTTCTCAGTTCCATATGTCATCACTGGCATTAACGGTTAGAAAATATCATTTGTTCATAATTCTCCCAATTGTATACTACATTTTGTTTTAAATAAGATAATAATATGTAATACATACTTATTATATTCTTTCATTAATATTATCATTTATCATATAAAAAACCATTGAATGCCTAATGAACTCGTAGTAGATGACTATGCAAGACGCCAGCTACGAGTTTGGTCGTATTACTTAACAGCTTCACACTAACTTCAAATGACTTTTTTTATGTAAATTGGCACCTTTCATAAAACAAAACATAAAAATTGAGTAAGATTATTTAATAGAGGATATATGTAGATGTTTATGGACAATAACAACCACTTACCATCACGTGGACTGTGTGCTTGTTTGTCACCCTTATTCTATAAAAAATCGCTATGATTGTTACAGTCCTGTGTAAATGCGATCACCTAAAAATGTTCGATGCAAGGTCGGACTAGCGCCGACCTGTGACGCGCGAAAACCAGACACTGCGAAAACAATCTGTGAGGGAATATCGTTTGGACGCCCGTCTGTTAGAGATTGACGTGTGTCGGGATTCAAAGAATCGGATGTAAAGAGATTTATCGATGAAAAAAAATCCGAATTATATGTGTAGTTTCTCAACGTATTTTTTTTTCTTTAAATAATAAAAAAAACATAGCAATGCTATCAACGTTGCAATTATTCTCTTTAACCGCCCCCGGTAAGCTTAAAATGCTTGTGTTAGCAGTGCTTAACAGTAGTCGGATCGCGGATGCGATTAACGGACGCTTACGGAAACGAACCTACGTGGCTATAGGCCGGCCATATAGCTCGAATAACCAACAGCCGATGGGGAAGAAAGCTTCTCGAGTGGCAGTCTCGCAATTTTGTGTGATTTCAAATATTCACTTTACAATGGTCTGTGGAGCGTACGACAAGGCAAAAGGCGCTTATTTTATATTTTGTATATGAGAATATGAAATACTTGCTTTATATACAAACTCAAAACTGTGTTGAATTATGGTCATATTTCGACTACAAGATATAGGTAAATCAACCACAAACAATTCGCATAGCTCTAATTAAATACTTCGCAATTGATTCAAAAAACCACGATTTATGGGACGGCAATTTATCTAAAGACGAAGCTCGCAGCAGTTCGTCGACATTAATTTGAATTTATTGCTGCATTTCATTAAGTTATCGAGTTTAGATAACGGCATACCTACTACATATATACTACTGGACATGAATCTCTCCCGTTGTAGGGTGAATTTGTGGTAGACGGGTTGACGATTTTGTTTTAATAGAATAAGGGTTACAAACAAGCATACAGTTCACTTGATGGTAAGTGAATACTGTGGCCCATAGACAATAAAACAACAAAGATATTCAATTAATTCAATCTGCAATCAAAAACGCAGATGCGTTGCCACCATTGAGGACTAATATGGAATGCGTTTTCAGTAAAATGAACCTTCCGTATCTCTATGCTCACCATTGAGCCGTATTAAGCTGCTATTTTACGCTGATATTCTGTAAGAGCGTGGTCGTCCCCCGTCTAACCGACATATTCTTGCTACACAAGCTAATGGGACGTGATCCTACAGTAATAAATGTAATAAATAAAGGAATTAACGGCTGAAGTTTGCTTCGTTAATTAGAAAATATTGTATTGCTTAAAAATGAAATTGAAAAATAAAACAAATACACCAGAAATAAAGTTCCGGTTAACCTATATTATAGTCCGATTGGTTTGATTTAAATTTCGATAGTTTTAACTGACTTGAATAAATCGCCGGATATTTTATTTGTCACCAATTAGTTAACTGTTCCCAGGTCGGGCCAAAATTAGTTCTGGGTTTCACTGTCATTAAATTCTCAGTAGCAGATTGGAGACAGGAAGTTGGCGGTGTTTTACCCCTGTGTCTTGGAAAGTACTTTAAGCCGTTGTGTCTGATCTTTCCGGTCATATCGTTTAGGACAGCGAAGTACTATCTGATTGTAAGAGTGAAGGAATAGAGAGTGCTTTGTGCTTGCGCACCCACTCGTATGTTATCAGTTGTCACGTCCTGCGCAGATTGCTTACCTCGATTGAAAATGACCGCAGTTCTCTGAATTTGGACTAGGACATATTATGTCTTCATTGCAATTATAACTTTAAAGGAAGGTTTATTTATTTTTAAAAGATTCTTAAGCGATTAGATTGTTAAAGTTTGTGTAAGCAATGACCATATGTGCCGGAAAAAGCTTGAAACATCGGTACCTAACATAAATGTGTAAAAAATTGTGCTAGTTTATCATCTTAAAATATTTTATTTCCGTGAAATTACACCTGATTTTGATACTAGTTCCCTTTTGTAAATATAAGAATTTTCTCCTGTATCCTTTAGGCGGTTAACATACACAAATTGCACAAGAACAAACATTCAGACCCGGTAAAATTATTTAATGGCCCTACAAACACTTGTCCGTGGCTAGACATGTGTCAATCATTCATTTCTCGTGACCGAATCATTCTAGTACATTTCTTCACGTGTACCGGTACATTCAGATCGATCATTCAAATGGGTCATTTTGGGCTCCAGTACCCTACACCAAAAACAATTCATTCAGATCATTCGGGATTCGGTCGGCTTTCAACTCATTCACAATTCACACCAATCACGAGTTAAAAAGGTTCCGTCAATTTTTTGTAATTGGTTGTACCAGAACATTCACAAAACAGATGAATGAACCATCAATACTTTTAAGTGTACCAGCTCAAACGAACGAATCATTCATGATTGACATATGTCTACGCTTAACCCACAGAAATAGTAATAATAAGATTATTACGATTTCTGTGGCTTTACCACTGCACTACAGTGCTGTTAACTTAAAACTTTGTAATTGACTGAAAGAAGCCTATAAATCGCACAGACCTTGGGAATAAATTAATCAGAGAAGCTTCGGTATGAAGCAAGCAAGAGTAAATAATTTTTAATCATAACCCCAAATAATAACCGGCTTGAACGTCGCCTCTCTTTTAATTATTTTTCTACTTTTCGTTCCCTTGGGAGCTTTTATTTAAATTTCCCGAAACTTTCCACCGAAATTAGTATAACGTCTGCGACGTTAGGTAAATAACTTAGTGGTGTATTGTAGTAAAAAGTTTGATATTTTTATAACGTTATCATTAAATGACGATTAAGATGTTATAAGAGTAAAATTCAGGAACATTTTAATATTTCTGGAAAACACTGAAACTTCGTCGTAGCTTTGGCACATAAGTAAAATGATTTGATCATAGCAAGACTACGCATAGCGGACGTTAACAGTCTTAACGCTGTGGTTATTTCGTGTTCTAAGACAGATCTTATTCTCACAGCTGTCAACTCACCTTTACGGGTAATTCTCGACACTCCCTGGAAATTGTTTTTATAAATATCATTCTACTGGTGTTACGAGTGAACCTTGTCCACTATAAAAACCAACTGGTAATACAAAACAGTAAAACAAAAAGTAAAAAAATATTTTAGTGCTTTGAAAACGACAAAGGGAAATACCCACGGAATAAAAAAAGACTCCCAAACTACACTTAGTTTTCATGCAACCATGAGCCGTGGTTCCTCAGGAGCTATGAGTTCGGTGTTTTCTTTTATAGGGGAGGGGGCAAACTAGCATACGGCTCACCTGATGGTAATTGATTACCGCCACACATGAACAACTACATCACCAGGGGAATTGCAGATGCGTTGCCGGCCTTTTAAAAAGAAGTAGTCTCTTTTCTTGAAGGTCCGTAAATTGTATCGGTCCAGAAAAATTTCTGGTGGTAATCAATTTCACAAGGAAGTTGTGCGAAGAACAAAACTTCTTTTAAATCGCACAGTGTTGGACCGCCAGTCATCCAGATGATGTTGATTTTAAAGTTAAATCCTCTCCGGCACCTATGAAGTTGTTAATTGCAATTTTAAGTGCTGATTTACCATGTACACGGAGGTGAAGAAAAACATTGTGAGAAAACCTGTATGTCTGAAAAATTAAACAATCGAAGATATGTTAAGTCCGCCGACGTTTAAAAATTTATTGTCCTGGAACCCTCCCAATCATGACACGATGCCACCCAGGAGTGGGACGTATATCGGCTGAAGATTTACTCATTTATTCACAATTAGGTATGAAATTATTGGACGTTTGTTCACTTGCAATTTACGTGTTCAATTTATGCATGTTTAAATTGCAAGTGGTAGTGTAAGTATGTGCAGGTGGTAGAGCCATGCTGCAGCTATATTAGTAGTATAGTATATATAGTTGTAGCACGAATGGGTCGTCTCGACCAGAGTACCACGCTCTCACAGAATACCAGCCTAAAATAGCAGCTCAGTGCTGCTGTGTTTTGTATGGTGAGTGTAGAGAACAGGAGACCCTTTTTACTGAAAACGTGGCATTCCATCTTGATTCTCACGGGTGACAATGTATCTGCATTTTGATTTGTAATCGAGGATAGATGTATACGTCTATAGGCCACAGCAACCACTTACTACCAGTTGGACTGTGTGCACGTTTGTCACCCTTATCCTATTAAAAAAAAAGTTAAATCCCTGCACGATACGGAAGAAAATAATTGTGTCACATAAAAAATAAACATTTATTTTCATACTAACTGATACTAAGCCGAAATGAAATTCTATCACAACTGAATTTTTAGAATCATTATGATACACCGACATCCAATGCCCGTTACATTTCAGAAGCCTACTAATAACACCTGGACTCTTACCTATTAGGATGTTCGAACTTGCAGTGTAAAAATAAAAATTTCCCATTACAACCCCAACTGAGCGCATAATAGTCAATCTTTACGACCCCCTGCGCAATTTAGTCGCAATGTTTTGGCTCGTGAGGGCACTAAAGCGATGCTATTGTTATCGTGAAATCACAGGTCACCTTTAGGTACGTTCAATTTACAAATGTCTGTGCGGGGGTGTTTTTGAATAAAAAGTACATATTACGTACAAAATTTATTTAGATATAGTACAATATCTATATCGTGTAATTATGATTCATGAGATAACTACATGTTTATTTATTAATAATTAAATGTCCTCCCGACCGATTTCGGTCACGGCGGCCACTCTCAACTGAGACTAGCCGTCTATGCAGGACAGAATTAAAGTGCCCAAGTGTATTAGCACCTTTAGATGAGTTATTTTATGAGAGATTGAAACCTACTATTTTAAGTGGTCAGGATAATTTTCATCTTCTCAATCACTCGTGAATTAATGTCAGGAGATAAGAACACCAAACTCGGTTGGGTTTTTCATGGCCACATGACTGGTGGTATTAAGCCGGTTAAAATCGTTAAACACATTTCCACAAGGTAGGAAGAGGCAAACGAGAAATTAATTGAAGATTATTTCAATCTTGAATCGTTAGGCCATAGTAAGCCTTCTAACGATCCCGAAGAACGGGCATTAAGTGTTTTAAAAGACACGTCGAATAACAGCACAGGTGCACTCTACTCCACTCTCATAGTCCGATCGGACGATAATCCGACATGACCTGAGAGAGATCAGGCGCAGTACCGATGGCTTACGTGTATCTTTATTTATTACATGTATACGTAGCAGAGTCAGGTTGTGTATTATGATGATTATGATGACTGCAGCAAGAGTGGGTCGGCTCGAACTGGGAAGGACGAAGCTGTGGTGGTTTATGAGATTGCAGACAGACACCAGCGCTTTCCTGATAACGACTCACAATTATTTATAAAAATTGCGGTTGTTAAAAAAAGTATTTTGTTTTTCGTATGTATCCGATGTAACCGAGTTCAATGTTAAAGATGCAAAAAAATTTTTGCTAAGATCTGCGTAATAAAATAAAATGATGTGTCTTACCTAGTCTCGATTGCGTGCACTATTCTCGTCACCACTAGTCCCAGCACCACTACTCCCAACACCACTACACTAAGATATGAAAGACTCACCGTCGATTTGACGACACTCGTTTCGCCTCTGAACAAGGCATAGTCTGGTGAAGTAGACTCTGCGGTTACTGATCGCTAAGTAAGGACTTATTTTAATATGTTTTTTTATCAAACAGGCTCATATTACTCAAAGTTCAAAGTAAGGGTTAATAAGTAAACTTTAAAAGGACTTTCATTCTTCGATACATTGTCTGAGCATCAGCTTTAGAACTTAATAATCTGGGGACTTTTAAACGTGGCAGAGCCATGTTGCAGCTATATTTCGGTGTTAGCACGAGTGTGTCGGCTCTACAGTGATAGGAGGCGGACCACCAACGTGAAATAGTAGCTCAATGCTGCTGTATTTCTTGTGGTTAGTGTAGAGAACCGGATAGGAGACATTCCATCTTTGTCCTCAGGGGTCACAAGATATTTAGATTCTTAATTGAGGGTAGATGTAGATATCTATGGGTCACAGTATCCACTTACCACATCGGTGGGCTGTGTGCTCGCTTGTTGAAGTCTTATCTCTGACATTACAAAAACGAAAATTATCTCCCCTGTAGTCCTGTGTACATGACAACCAGATTCTACGATTATTCAACGTCAGTATATATTTTTATTGATTATTTTTACAATAACAGCATTTTATTAAAATGACAAAACGAAAATGTTAATCTTCAGATGATCTTTTATAAATATCTTGTATAAAAAGTCGTCAAAAGAACCAGCGATCTGGAAAATGAAACCACACAGACGTCGAACCTCGTTTTTATTATCATTCAAATACTAGCTTATGCACGCGGTTCTGCTCCCTTGGAAACAGAGACGTCTTCTATTACGTATTATATTGATTTAACCGCATTCAGTTTTATTTTCTTGCGGTAAAAGTACTCTCTTGTGGTGAGACATAAAATGATCTATCCCTATTAAAATTTTACTCAAATTAAGCGAAAACATTAAAATGGTGTATAGCGTTAGTATTTTCTTAGTAATTATGTTATGACGTTAAAAAATCCGTATAACCTTATAAGTGACTGACTGGCATACACCCAATCTTCTTCGCAATGACACATGTAATATAAACATAGAACGTTTGACAGCTTCTTCAGTCTGGTGGTCCTAAACGTAACTACTGATTATGAGGCCCCGGTTTTGAATTCTGGTTTAAAAAATCAGTTTGAGTTTTTCTGTAAAGAAATTCTCTACAGCAGCCCGGAGTCAGGATGTTGGTAGTGTTTTACTGTAGTTTCTCGGAAAGCACTTAAAGCCGTTGCTCTTAAATCTGGTACCTCTCCGGCCGTGTCGGTTCCCATTGAAATATGAGAGTGAGGGAATAGAGAAGTGCACCTGCTTGCGCGTACACTCTGTTACCACAATGCTGTCCTGTGCGGATAGCTAGACTCCGTTGAAACTGACCGCCGTGACTGTCGGTATGGAAAACATTATTTTGAAACATATATCTATATTAAGTATATATATAACTAAAATATATTATGTATATGCCAGCCAGAAAGTAGTGAGAACATTAAATACATATTTATAATATTATAGTTATGTAACCTATTACTAAATTTTTGTAAAAATATTAATGTTTTTTGCCTTAAAACAAATCAATGCGAATTATTTTTTTAAGTTTAAATAGAACAGTAATTCAGTCTATAATCATTCCGTACATGTACTGCGTACTATATTCTTTATTTAAATATGTAAGATTTATAAGCTCATAGATAAGTTAATATCTAAAATGATGTCCTTGCGGCAAGACATTTGAAGAACAGGTTTTCAACAGATCTATTGTTGTCGCGCTGTGTCCTAAAGAGCGAGCTAGACAACAGAGAGAGAGAGAGAGAGAGAGAGAGAGAGAGAGAGGGAGAGAGAGAGAACTGCAGCGATTACTGATATATCTATGGAAAAACTGACTAAAACATCATGCTGTGTTCCACAAATTTCTCCTTAAAAATTTTACCTATTTTAGGTTGAGTCAGTGCGCTGCACCATCTTCGATTACATTACCGCTTATGATCAGATTGTCTAGTTGTCAGGCGCTGGCTTAGAATTGTAAAAACAAAACAATATAAAACAGTTTTAGCTATGTATGTGTGACACATGCAGTCAACATCTAACACATGCGTTGTCACCTCTGATGTTTAGGATGGAATCTCTCACAGCCTGTTAATTACACTGGCTTTTCATATCCACCAGACATTACACAAACGGAACACAGCAGTATCATTGCCATTTGACACCAGAAGACCATTAAGGGAATAATTTCCAGATGAAATAAAAATAAATTAAATAACATTTAAAAAAACTAAATTTCAAATCCAACGACGCCGAAGTGAAAAAAGAAAAAAAAAGAACCAACGCTTCAATCCCTAGGAAAGAAAAAAACCCCAGTATCTTTTTAAAAAAAAAATCCCTTAAAAAAAAAAAACTCCTTTTCAGAATACACATACGCACAGGACGACGTAAAGAAAAAAAAAACCGTTAAAAAAAAAAAAAAAAAAAATGAAACGAGCAACTTAATACTGCTGTGTTTCGTATGGTGAGTGTAGAGATCCGGAGACACTTTTTTACTGGAAACGAGGCATTCCATCTTAGTCCTCAGGAGTGACAACGCATTTGCGTTTTGATTCTTAATCGAGGATAAATGTAGATGTGTATTGTTAATACAGGCATGAATGTATGAAAAAACATTGTAAGTTCAATAGTAATTCTATTTTTATGTCAAAAAGTCGTTGAAATTCAATATCTATGAAATATCTTTTAGAATAAGTTTCAAAATTGCATGTCCACAATTTTTCATTGGCATATAAATTGATATTTTTCCAATAAAACTTTTGTATCGCCAATGAAAACGCTGTCACGAACCTTCTTGATTTTGTATTGTGTGTTTTTATCATTGCAATTTTAACCTTAACTCTATGGCTACAAGTTTGAAAGTATCGACTCTGCGACGCGAGCTAAAGAAGCCCTACACGGATGTGACATATACTCCGGATGCTGCACTCTCAAAATCGAATTCGCAAAGGTGAGTGGATATTTTTATATTTCCTTTGTGAGTGAAGATTGTATAAATGTAAACTGTCAACTTGAGCCGTGGTAGCTCAGATTGTTAACGCTCGCTGTAAATATAACAGAACGCGAGTAACCCGGGTTCGATCCCCGCCGGCACTAATGAAATTGTTAATTGCAGTTTTAAGTGCTGATTTACTGCGTGCTCGGCGGTGAAGGAAAACATCGTGAGTAAACCTGCATGTCTGAGGAATAGGAAAAAAAATATTTCGAAGACAGGTGAAGTTCGCCAACATGCATTGGGGCAGCGCGGCAGACACTTCCTTGCCCTAAAACCATCTTATAAATGAGGGGAGGCCTGTGCCCAGCAGTGGGACGTATATAGGCTATAACTTTAACTTTACTTTTAAATTGTCAACTGAATATTCTAAGTTTCTGTGGAGTTTTAGGAGAGTTAAAGAGGAATTCATTTTTAAGTGTTTTTATAGAGTATTTTTTTAAGGGCAAATGAGAATTCTGCTCATTTGATCGTAAGTGATCGATCACACACACAGAGGCTATGTAGACATATGCTAGATGCATCACAGTGGTGTGAAGGATGCATCGCAGGTGCGTTACTGGCATTTGAGAAAGATGTAGACTTTTTATTTATTAAAGATGAATTATTATCGATCCCTAAAAAATACTGGTGATAGTAGATTTCACAAAATTCTTCTAGAAAATTGTACGATGGTAGACAAACGGTACATTTTGTGGGTTGGTTTCTTTCAACTAATCGTATGTCTTGTTTTACTGTAACAAGTCTGTTAATTATATTCTTCGGGATATTGCTGACGCACATAATTGTATCAGTTTAAAAAAGTTATTTTAATTCCTATTAAATTAAAAATTATTTTTCCCTGCACTCACAATCTCAGATCTCTCTTTCTTATTAACAAGAAAATCTTGTTAATTTTCACAAGAACGTTCTGTTAGGAAATGAAGCTCGGGCTAATTTACTTTTACTTCCTTGAGAAAATCCTTCTTGCCGTTGAAGTTTTGAAAGATGATTATAAAGAAATTAAGGAAAATCACATTTTATGAAGTTATTTAATAAGCATTACAAATTGTTTTAAATAGGTAATTCAATTAATAAATTCTGTTCAATCTTCGTACTGTTCGACGGTACAATCAATACTCGGCGTTTATATTTGATTGGCATTCAGCCTCAGCACGGCAGTTTGACAGTTTAATGACGGACTGTATGTGGGAGCTGTCGTTCGAAAAAGGGGGTCTCGGATATAAATCAAACGGCAACAAGCTATTTCGGTACATGTTCTATTTTAGGTACGGATTTCTCTAAAGCCTTTGACACTGTAATCATCGGCAGCGCTGCAGACACTTCCTTGCCCTTAACCCCACTCAGAAATGAGAAGAGCCCTATACCTAGCAGTGGGACGTATAAAGATTTATGCACGTCAGTTAGCGCATTTCTGAAAAGGTTATATGCGGCATTGTCAGCAGTCCCATGTTCCCACGGTCCCATGTTTACATAACTTTGAAACATAGGCGCACTCACACAAGTTGTCACCATACACGAGCCACTTGCCTTCGACTTTCTGAATGACTTACTACATCACTCCATCTCTCGTCATCTCCATAGTAATTTTTCTTATTTTTGATAGGTTTTATTATCTCTAAACTTGATTTTGTCTCATTCTACATTGAAAGAGCTTTTTTCATTTCATTCGACAATAATTGAATCTCGATGTCGAGTTTTTCCTCTCTTACAAATTTGGATCTAATTCACGTTTAATCCTCTCAAACTAACTCTTTTATAAGATTTCGTTCTTCAATAGGAATAAGGACTTCCACAACTGCCATCAAGGCATCGCCACTTTGAAATGAGGTGAAATGTTTGATTTATCTCATGGCGAGGAGGTTAAATTGTTTGAAAAGTGTAAAGATTAATGTTTTTTTTAAATATAAGGTATATTTAGTATGAATTAGATAAGAACTGGATAATACAAACTACGGATATTTTTAAAAGTAGAAGAAATAAAGAAGATATGTGTCTATACGTGGTAGAGCTACGCTGCATCTATATTATAGTTGTAGCACGAATGGGTCGGCTCGACCGGGGAAGGACCACGTTCGCACAGAATACCAGTGTAAAATAGCCGCGCAATTCTGCTGTGTTTCGTATGGTGAGTGTGGAGATCCGGAGACCCTTTTTTACTGGAAACTAGGCATTCCGACTTAGTCATCATAGGTCACAGCGCATCTGCGTTTTGATTCTTAATCGAGGATAAATAAATGTAGATGTCTATGGGCCACAGTATCCACTTACCATCAGGTGAACCTCTTTATCACCCTTATTCATTTTAAAAAAGAACTGGAACACGATTAAAAGAGAAGAAATAAAACAATCTACACTCACCATAAGTGGTGATAAAACCGAGACGTAAATAAATTATCTTAGTCCCAACATCAATTCTATCAGGAAAAGGCACCAATCATTATTCTATTAAAACAAATTGTTGTCCGTCTCGGTCTGTCCAAAGACCCTTTTTTCCGGAACGGGTAGACGTATCAAATTGAAATTATTATTAAATGTATGGCTATTTACGTTACGCTATTTTGATACTCGCGAACTTCCAGACCTAGAATCATGAAAGCAAAAGGAAAATATCCAAAAATTGGTAATTTCTGATTATATCACATAAAAAAATATTTTTCACGATTACAAAATTGCATTTGCAGTTATTTGAAGCATCGAGCACGAACCGCAAGGTAGACGCACATTTTTTTGTATTGCAAAAATAAGTTTTTCCGTCGAGCCGACTTAACCTTTAGTTGAGCGATGTTCGGTGCTTACCATACCTAAATTACCGGATGAATGAACTATTTTTTTCTAGAATAAGCGTGACAACCGACCCCATAGTCTACCTGATGGTTAGTGTATACCGTGGCCCATGGACATCTACAACTATCCTCGATTAAAACAAAGTGCAGATGCCCTTGTAGACTGAGATGGAATGCCTCGATTCCAGTAGCTTGTAGTAGTTTCATCGTGTGTTTATCACGTGAAAGAGATCTTAGTAAATAATGAAGTTTTTAGAAAATCTCTAGGGCGCGAGTCGTACTTGCATTTGTTCTTTTTTATCTTTCTGCATTGCCGGGGTTTTCAATTAAATTTTACTCTGCTATATGATAGGTAACGTATCAGGAAGCTGAGTTAATGCCCAGTAGATTATGAACGTCGAATGTTATTTAAATGATGCAAATTGATACAGGTAATTGATTTTACGTGTTCTTTTTAAAGTTAACGGAAACTTCATTTTCCAGTGGGGGATATATCGCACTGCTTTATTTTTAAATCGTTTCCATTTTGAGACTTTGATGCAGTGATGTTAGACGTACTAATTTCTCGGTATGCATGCTAAATACTGTCCTGGTACGCATAAACACCAAGTTTTTGACATAGACCATGCATGATAATTGTTTTGCTTTTTTTATAAAAACAGAATGTCAGGCAATGCTATAACTATTAGTACATACATACATACATAAACACTCACGCCTGTCACCCAGAGGGATAGGCAGAGACTACGGACTTCCATTTGGCACGATCCTGACATACCTCTTTCGCCTCCTTTACATCCATATATCTACGCATACATGCTCGTCGGTAAGGGTACTTCTAACGTGGCCCATTTTCAAAATATCGCCAATTTGGTCGATAAACTTTTTCCTAGGGCGTCCCTTCCCGACTCGGCCATTCACATCTGCCATATAAATTTGCTTTGTCACTCTTTCCTCATTCATTCTTTCTACGTGACCAAACCACCGAAGCATTCCTTTCTTAATCCTGGTCACAACATCATCTTGCATACCACATTTATCTCTTATCACGCAATTTCTCACCCTGTCATTCAGATTACACCCTAGCATATTCCTTAAAGACCGCATTTCTACAGCATTTATTTTACTTTCGTGCTTCTTCTGCCACACCCAGCTTTCACTACCATACATTAAAGTAGGGACTAACACAGCATTATGAATTACCATACGTGCCTGTTTTGACAAATTCTGGTTCTTCATAATAGAGTGTAGTGCCCCATTCACTCTATTCCCTGCATTTACTCGTCGTTCTATATCCCTATCATATCTACCATCCCTGCTAAATACACATCCCAAATACACAAACTCATCCACTTGCTCAATCAACTCTCCTTCTATTCTTATTTCACATACCGTTTTGCTTTCTTCTCTTTCAAAAACCATCACTTTCGTCTTACTTGCGTTCACTTTCATTCCCCTTTCTTTTAATTCCCAGTTCATTAATGTAACCATCATTTGCAACTCTGCCGCCGATGACGCAAGTATGACTTGATCATCGGCATACAAAAGGCATTTGACGGTTAACTCGCCCATTCTTAACCCACATTCTTCATCTTTCAAAGTTTGCAAACACCGGTCCATAAATAGGTTGAACAGCCAAGGGGAAGCCACACAGCCCTGTCTGACACCTTTTTGGATGCCAAACCAGTCCGAGTAGACCCCATTGATCCTGACACAAGCACTAGAGTCCCTATAAAGAGACCTTAATGCCTGTATCAAACCAGCGCTCAACCCATATGAGTTCAGTGTTTGCCATAACACATTCCTGTCCACCCTGTCATAAGCCTTTTCCAAGTCCATGAACGCACAAAAAACTTTCTGGTTTTTGGCCAAAAACTTCTCCGCAATCATGCGCATGGAAAAGACTTGATCTGTACACCCCATTCCCTTTCTAAAACCCGCTTGCACATGCCAAATTTTTCCATCAGTTTCTTTCATAACTCTTTCAATTAACACCTTAGCATACAGTTTACCCACAATACTAAGCAAGCTGATACCGCGGTAGTTTTTGCAGTCCTGCTGTGACCCTTTTCCTTTATATATTGGTACTATAACTGCTTTACACCAGTCATCCGGTACCCGTTTTAATTCCCAACATAAATTAAACAAGGTGTACAGCAGGCCTGCCACCAC